TCTTCTTCTTCTTCTTCTTCTTCTTCTTCTTCTTCTTCTTCTTCTTCCTCTTCTTCCTCTTCCTCTTCTTCTTCCTCTTCCTCTTCTTCCTCCTCTTCCTCTTCCTCTTCCTCCTCTTCTTCTTCTTCTTTTTTATGGCATATTATGAAATTTGGAATCTTTCTTCTGCCCAGGCTTGGTTAGCTTGTAAGATTTCCTTTTGAAAAAAAAAATGTGACAAAATGTAATTCACCAATGATGCCCCTTAAGGGAACTGGCCTTGCTTTGTTTTTCCTTGAAGATGTTTCATCTCTCATCCAAGAAGCTTCTTTAGTCCTGAACTGTCAGAACTGAAGAAGCTTATTGCATGAGAAGCGAAACGCCTTCAAGGAAAAACCAAGCCCAGTTGTCCTTTTGAAAAAACGCCTTTGGGATAACCATGACTTGGATGACTGAGAATCTCCATAGACATCTCCAAGTCTGTGTTCTTGTCCTCTAGCATCAGAGTGCCAGTGTTTTCATTGTCACACCAGGTGGCAGCACTTAATCTAACAATAGCTAAACAGGGTCAGATCTGCTTGGTACTATTAGGAAAGTAGACTATCAGGAAATCCAAGGGCAATAAGCTAGATGGGGAAGCTTTAAAGACAGCCAGAAAGAAGCCAATAACAAATTATTTCTATAGTGTACCCAAGAAAGCAACAGAGTCATTTGGAGTTAAATATCATTGAAGACTTTCATTAACATTTCCCTTTTTTTAACTGGTGTCCCTTGCCTAATTTCCTGTGGTTTCCCTTGGTAAAAATATCTGGAGTCAGTCTATGAATATAAGGCATCATAAGAATAAGTAAAGTGTGTCTCTCGGGCAACAGGAATGTGTTTCTAGCTTGGGTTTTTTTTTCACCATCCCAGATGAATTTAACTTGGTTTTCTCAATCTGCATATTCCAGTAGCCCTCGATTTACGACAATTGTTACTTATTTTATTTATTAAATTGGTTTGCTGCCCTTCTCTCTGCAAGGGGAGCCCAAATTTTTTGTTGCTAAGCAAGACGGTGGGTAAGTAAGTTTTGTTTCTTTCTTGCCAAAGTTGTTTAGTGAAGGGTGGTGAGAATTTCAAGGGATGCGGTGTCTCATTGGCTAAGACGCTGAGCTTGTCGACCAGAAAGGTCGGCAGTTCGGTGGTTTGAGTCCCTAGCACCACATAATGGAGTGAGCTCCTGTTAATTGTCTCAGCTTCTGCCAACCTAGCAGTTCGAAATCATGTAAAAAATGCAAATAGAAAAATAGGGACCACTTTTGTGGGAAGGGAACAGCGTTCTGTGTGCCTTTGGCGTTTAGTCATGCCAGCCACATGACCATGGAGACGTCTTTGGACAGCGCTGGCTCTTCAGCTTTTTAATGGAGATGAGCATCGCCTCCTAGAGCTGGAAACGACTAGCACGTATGTGCAAAGTGAACCTTTACCTTTTAGTGAGAATTTCAGATCTTTGCTAAACGTCTGTGGAGATTCTCAGTCCTCCAGGTCATGGTTGTCCCAAAGGTTCTTTTTTCTAAGAGGCAACTGGACTTTCTGTTTTCTTTTCTTTGAAGACATTTTGCTTCTCATCCTAAAAGCTTGAGCTGAAGAAGCAAAACGTCTTCAAAGGAAAAAACCAGAAAGTCCAGTTCCCTTTTTGGAAAAAAAAAGCACCTTTGGGAGATCTTTGCTAACTTCTTAAAAATGTACCTCTTCTTTTCTCCTCCTTCCCCTCTCCGCGTAGATATTCCAAGGCAACCATGACAACAATTCTCACAAGAAGAACATGTTCGATGTGCCCATCTATGCCCGCTTCATCCGCATCTTCCCTGAAGCTTGGCACAACCGTATCACATTGCGAATGGAACTTCTGGGATGCGACGAGTAGATGGTTGAACATAGGAGAGATGGTGTCAAGAATCAGACTGCTCCACCTCTCCCCACGGATGCTCTCCCCCCCCCCCAAGATCCCACGGGGCTTACAGTTCCCAGTGTCATCTCCTCCACATCTTTTATTTTTGCACCATTTGTAAGGAGGTCTTAGCTTTCACAGGTTGGGCATTGCTAAACTTTTAGAGATGATACCAAGAACTGGTGAAAGAAGGGATTTTAGTATGTCCTACCTGGTCCTTTTCTGGCCCTTCTTGCTTTCTCCAATTATGTGTCTGGCTCTTTGAGGCATGGTTGCCCAGTTCTGGATGGCCTCCTCAATGCCAGCCCTGCACTTTAAGGACCTTTTTTCTGTGGCAGGACTCTCTATGTTTAAGGTCCTGCCAAGTTTTGGGTTCTCCTGGAGCATGACCATACACTGTAGATTTAAGTGGAGCTTAGCAGTCATTCCTTCTCTCCAAGGAACCCTCAAAACTATAATTTGGGGAAACATCGAGTTCTCTAGCACAGATCCTCTCTTTCTCTAGAAATTACAGTTCTCAGGATTCTGTTTTTAGACAGCTGACGTGCATTTTATGGACAAAGGAACAGGTAGTTTTGCCATCCCGGTTTTGAAAATTAAATAGCATCCTCAGGCTGGTGCTTTCGGCTTTGTGCCAGTGCAAGCAGTTCCCACCTGTGTTTCTATTTAACTTTTGCCACCATGAGGGCTAGAAACTATTTCCCTTTTTTTAGCCACAAGAATGAGATTTTTCACTTGCACAGATCCCGCTGTTTTGTCTTCTTTTAGCCTCTTGTCTGGACTCTTCTGAAGCCACTCAATCACTTCCTCTTCCCCCAAGTACTACACTTGTTGCTGACTGAAAGAACTGAGATGTTCTTCTCTCTCCCCTCTCCCCTCATCCCAGCTGCCACCAAGGATTCTACTCCGCCATGTCAACTCAATCCTTGGCAGAGATGCTAAGAAGAAACAGAATTTTCTGGAGGGGAAGAAAAACATTTAAAAAACAACGCAAATAGATGCAGGCCGTTCTTTTTGGCAGGGCTGAGGGAGGGTAGGGTTGGGACATATGTCTTTCTGTAGTCAGTGGCTGGCTATGGGGTGGAGTGGGGAGAAATGAGGATGTGGGTTCTGGAAGTAATTAACCCAGAGCAAAGGAATCCAAGGTTGTAAGCAATTCTGAGGACGGCTGTGACTTCGCAATGGGATGCAGTGTTAAAGAAGGACAGGCAATATTAAAACTCTGATGTCTGATGTCTCTCTCCATGTGTGGAACTCAGAAAGAACTTTAAAAAAGCTTTTAAAGAAAGAAAGAACCAACGGGGTGGGAGGGTAAGGGAGCTGGGGTGGTACACATCAAAAGGCATCTTCCTAGATGGGTTACTTTTAGAACTCAGAGAAACTCTCTGAAACTTTTGTCCAAGTTTTGTATCTCTGGAAATTCAAGCTACGTCAGCGATGGGCAGCTCCATCTCCATTTAGTGTCCTGTCAGGCTAAACTTGGAGAAAACTGCCCAATTTCTCCCCATATCAAGGCAAGAAGCAGATGGAAATGACTACTTTACCAATATGGCATATTAGACTTATATACTGCTTTACAGTGCTTTTACAGCCCTCTCTAAGCGGTTTACAGAATCAGAATAGTTGTCCTCAACAATCAGGGTCCACCTCAGAAGGATGGAAGGCCGAGTCAACCTTGAGCCTGGTGAGATTTGAACTGCCAAATTGCAGGCAGTCAGTAGTCAGCAGAAGGAGCCTGCAGTACTGCACTCTAATCACTGCGCCACCACAGCTCAAGCCCAGCATTGTTGAAAAGTTGGGTGGGATACATTGGTGGTGGTGATGATGATATCCATTCAGTCACATCTGACTCTTGGTGATTCTGTGGGCCAGGTCTTGCCATATCTTCTGATCTTGCACTATTTCTTTGAATTTTTCTATGCGCTGTCAGCTTCGATGGTGTGGCATGCAAAATAACCCTGCAATCATACCTTCAGCAGCTTCAAACAACATCTGGCTATCCAGATCCTTGGGAAGGACTTGATAGATGGATAATAATGCCAAATCCACTCTAAACATCTGGCAAACTGGGCAACCAACCACCATCATAAAAACCTGAGCAAACAACTCAAACTTTCCCCTAATTCAACCCTGCCCATGTGTGTGGTGCAGCCTCTCGATGGCTTTTGACTTTTCTCAAAAATGAGGTGTGTGTTTCTTGGTCATCAGAATGTTCTCTGCCGCTGGTGTTAGTCAGGGAAGCCTTATAAAGCAAGGGTTCTCCTGAAGCTTGACACTGGAAAATAAGAGAGCTAAAAGTTTTTTTTTAATTTGGCCAACTGATTCTGAAACCTGAAACTGGCTCAAAGTGGACTTCTCTCTTGCTCTTGCTCTTTTTTTTTCTTTTGCTGAACTCTTGCCAGGCAGAGAACAAGGAAAAGGAATTGTGAGTTTTCATTAGGCTATTGAATGAGTGGTGCGGTGGCCTAGAGGTGGAGCTCTTGCCTCACAATCAGAAGGCTGTGAGCTCAATCCTAGAGGCAGATATTTCTTTCTCTGGGCACAATGAGAATATATCTGCTGAACAAAACTCCGCATTGGTGACAAGAACGGCATCTGGCCAGTAAATACTCAGCTCTATTCAGTTGCCCTGAATCGCAAAGGATTATGGGGTTATTAAAAGAAGGAGATTAGGCTCTCAAAGATGGATTTTAGGATGACAATATCAGTCTGCAAGTCCCAAATTTGAAGTTGCTATTTAGAGTTTAGGGGTGTACTGCTTCTCTAAGAACCTGAACTCTATTTTCTGAGGACTTTCAGTTTATTGAAAGGAAGAAACTTCAGGGAAATGAGGTAGAGGAGGGATGAGGTTGGAGACCATTGGACTCTTGACATGTATTTTATGATGGTTGTGATGCCCTGGTGTCATTGGATATCCATTTCTGAGTTTTCCAGTCATTTTCTGACAAGCAAGCTCAATGGGAGAAGTTGGATTTTTTGAGCAACCATTTGATTCACTTAACAATTGCAATTGCTTTGCTTAAAAACATGGTTAAAAAAGGGTTGTTAAATTGGAGGACAAGTTGAATCCTTGGGCATCCTTCCTGTTGTTGGGATGCAGTTATGTCACAAGTCAACATGTTCTGATTGGATTGTTTTCTGAGCCCACCTTGACCTTCCATCCACCCAGTGCTTTTAAACTGCTTCCACTATGCACTCTAAGCAGTGTGCAACATTATTGAATCATTTCATGAAAACCAAATCAATAAAACCACATCTGCAAACGCTATCAATAAAAAATGTCATAAAATTTGAATAACCCAGCCATTATTGCCTCCAAAATTTACTGTATACTAACAATGTCCCCAGTAGGACTTCCCTCTTCTATCTCCATGGATTAAACCATCAAATTAATAGCAATAGCATGTAGACTTATATACCACTTCACAGCCCTCCCTAAGCAGTTTAAAGAGTCAGCACATTGAACCCCAACAATCTGGGTCCTCATTTTACCAACTTTGGAAGGATGGAAGGCTGAGTCACTTGAGCTGGTCTGGATCGAACTGCTGGCAGTTGGCAGAATTAACCTACAATATTGCCTTCTTCCAGGGCTCTGTTAAATTAAATCACAATATGGTCAATATGTTGGGGTGCAGCATATTGTATGAATAAAAACATCAAGAGATAGTGGTCCTGTCTTTGGTGGAGGCATTTAAGCAGGACTTGACCAGCTATTAGTCACTGATCCCATGTAGCTAAGATTCTTCTATTGAGCAGGTGTGAACTTCAATGCTCCACAATCAATAATTCCCTTGAGTATTGCAGCAAAGGGCAGCACACCTTGTGCTCTTCTCCACACAATGAAGTCACAAAGGCACACTAAGAAATTCTGACAATTTACTGTAGGGCAATTCTCTTTTTTCCATATTCATTTTTTTTAACTAGGACAATTGAACCCCCGAGGCTTCAAAGCAGCCAATCAGAGAGTGACAGCACAGGGAACAAATCCAATGTACAAGAAGTAGCAAAGAGGGGACAGATGTAGTTCAGGAGTAAGAAGTGAATAATTGAATTGTGCTTGGCTGGGGAATATAGGATGTGTGAGACTACAGTAGAAGCATCTTCTCCAGACTATCTTCCGGGGGGTTTGGGTGGTGCAGTGTGGAAGTGTGTGAATCTTGCTGTGCTGGAAGATGCTGAGGATAGATATTTATGCAGTGAAGAAACCTTGTAGCAAGGTAAGCACTGATAGGTACTCGGAGTTAATAACAAACTGTTTATTTGAAGAACAGTCCAAACAAATTCACAGTTGAGAGACTTTGGAAGAATGCTATGGGAACCAATAAGCTCCACCCAGCCATCTCTGCTAATCCTCTTTTACTTTTCCAGTGGTCAAAATATTGAATTTCCCCAACTCCCCCTTCTGTTTATCTTTAGTATTCTTTTTTTTTTCCTAAGCAAAGGCCATGTCTTCTTTCCAAATGTAACTTAATAGCATCACTGAAAAATCCTTTTCTTAGTATCTCTGCCAGATGCACTGCAGATCTCTAGAGGATTAAAACTTTCACTGGAGACAGTTCAGGGCTTAAAAAATTGCAGAGTGCTTTCATCTGGATCTCAAAATCTGTAGAAACCAAAGCAACTACCAGCTGAGTCTACGCTTTGCCCTTCAACGAAACCCATGGGGCCATATTGTAACTCAGCATGTTGTCTGAATCAAGCCTTTGTGATGTTGGTAAACCATGGCTAATAGTTGATGAAGATGTGTGAATACTAAGCAAACTATGGTTTGGGTGATGTGTGAACTAGACATGGATTCTTGTATTGACTGGTAGCTAAACTCTTAAAGTAGGTGAGACTTAGCACCTTGACTCTGCAAGGGATTGCTGTGATACTAAGCTGTGCTTCTTCCCCACTTCAATTGTTTGCACCATGAAGAGAGAAAGACTTCAATTTCTGAAAGAAACACCATTTCCAATTCTTAGAATGGTTCTTAAGTTTCTCCATCACTTTGTGGGAATTTTCGCAGGGCCCCAACGCAACAGCTAAATTGTGTTGTGCAAACACCGCCAACTACTGATTGCAATTTAGCATCACTCAAGCTGTGAAATTAGTTTGTAGTTCAGTGAACTGTGCAAAATTGGCTGGAGAAACCACGATTAACGACATGCAAGTGTATCGTGCGAATACACTCACCGAAGCTGAGTGCCTTTCAAAGTGGGCTGAATAAATCCATCTTGTTCTCACAGTTGGTGAGCCATTCGAAAAGGGGCATCTTTTCGGCGTATCATTATTTTTAATTGTACTTTACTTCAAGGTTTTGTCATCCTGCCATGCTTCATGGGTGCTCTCATTTGGGTATGGCTCATAGCCCGTCCGGGAGGAGCGGCTTCTCTCCCTGGGAAATCAGCGAAACTATTCACTTGCAGCTCTTCCAGAATCAAAGGTTTTGAGGTGCTCCTGGCGGAGGGAGGATGGGACATTCTTAATTGCTCAGCTGCTAACATAAATGCTGGGGCCCTGGATGCTGTCCGAGACAGGCACAGCTATCATAAAAGTTGGTGCCAAGGTGAGAGAATGGCTCTACCAGCTGGTTCCACTCTCCCTACTCCTTCCATTCTCCCTACCCATGCTGCCATTCAGTCAGTCCCTCCCTCGCACCTCTGTTCCACAAGTTGTAAATACAATTGTCAGCTCATTAAACAAAACAGAGGATCTGGCATTTGGCAGATCAATTAACTGATTAAAGTTTCATACGCTTGCACATCTAACTCATGCTTCAGTATAGTCTTTCTCTCTGCATTTTTTTCTCACCTATGGATCTCACATTATACTGGGAGAATGTCTTTATTTCTGCTCCTTTAAAAAATAATAATACTGTTAACAGTTTGGCTTTCGATGGAGGTATTCTTTGATCAAGTTGGGTGCACTCATGAGCTTAGAGCTGTTTTTCAAAGATCCTTAATCCTCTACATAAAACAGGCAAGACCTCATGACCGATGGTTGGAAAGCAGAGCTGTGAAGTCTGTACTTTGGATCTCTCCCTTCCCTTGAATTTACTGGATACAGTTTGGTTGTGTCTATTGCAGTTTTGTCTATTGCAGTTTCCAGGTGTTTCTTGCAAATATCACAAGATGTTTCAGATCTCTCTCTCTCTCTCTCTCCCTCTCCCTCTCCCTCTCCCCCCCTCTCTCCCCCCACCTCTCTGTTCCCCATTGCACTAAGCCACAATGCATTTCATT